TTAACAAATAATGCGAAGGCACGAAACAGACATTCATTCTGCATCGGTTCGCCGGGACCATTCATCCGAACGAGCAGTATGACGCTCGACGCAAACCTCCTAGTCTGTCGCGAACCAGTCCCGTGACGAATAAACCGAGTCAAGAACGCACTTTATTCATCCATTATGAACGGAATTGCCAGTGAAAAAATTTTGTCACTTTTGCTTTGGCGTACAGGACAATGAAATGGATTTGATATTTTGCTATTTAACAAAATAAAACAATGATGATAAGGAGCGATAACGCATGGTGGAAGTAAAAAGAACCGCAGCACGAACTTCATGCGATTGTGTCTCAGTTAATTTTATGGTCGTATCTTGGAGATCAATGAACGAGAGATAAAGTGCCACAGAATTGTGGAAAGCTGTAGTGCGAGTGTATAAAGTTTTAAATTTATTGTGGGTGATAAAAGTGGCGTTGGTGTGAAAGAGATAGAGTTGGGTGTAGAGGATGCAATGCGTCAGACAGGTTTGAGTTACACAGACGGACACATTTTGATAATACAGTCGACAAGCATAGCATAACGGACAGTTTCGTATGTAGAAGTGCTTTTCAAAGAGCATCTAATCAGTATGGAATCTTTCGATAACCGGCCCGAGAAGGTGACACGGGAACAGTAAGTTCAGTGTCATAACAAACACACGAGAAAATAAATTACGAAGTTAAATACAACTACATCTTCAGATGTCGATGGCGTCAGGCGTAAAACGTCAGCTTTCTGATTTTAAGAGATATACCTTGTACCTGATAGGATCACTTGAAGTTTGGTGGACGAAGAACTTTCAGGGTATTTGAAATACTGTAACCTTTCAGCGATTGAGTCGTGAACCAGGAAGTGGTCATCCTGCATGTGTAAATGGCCTGCGATTAAATTTCAATACGTGATTGAGTTTGAAGAAAGATTAACACCACCGGGCCATTCCAAAAATGGGACTTAAGACTGATTGAAATGGGTTTATGGAAGAGATGTTGTTGGATGCACCACCAACCACTACGCCGTCGGCGTACCTAAATTTAATAGCAGATGGGATGAGTGAGGAATTTTTAATGTAAAAGGAGAATAAGTAATAGGAATAGGATAAAATTGCACCTTGCAATACCCCTTGGTTTATGTAAACAATGAAAGACTAAATGCCATTAAGACGTGAACTGACCTATCCGATTAAACAGATATGGTGGTAGATTGTGTCGCAGTAATCATGTCAATGGGGACGTTCCTATCCACTCAATAGTTCTGAATACAAACATGAACAGAGTCGTGTTTCGGGTCGATCAGGGAGGGATAAAATGGAGTGTGTAAGATAGGCAACCGCGTCTACAGTAGGATGACGCTTTCAACAGAAGAGTGATTGTGTAGTAGCTGAATGTTCGTCTCTAATGGGGCGAATTAGAGCCGCTTCTTGACTGACTGACTGACTGACTGACTTACAACAAGGGAACTAGTTAGAATCATAGAGATCAACAGAAGAAGACAGAAGCTTAATGGTAATTCTCTCAGAAGTTTTATTTAGTACCGAGGATGAAGCAGTTGCTCTAAATTTCCTCTTTCCTTACCTACTGGATTGATGCAAATGTGATGCCACATATCACCTAGGCTACGCATTTATTAAAGATGAATGAAACTAGTTGTGCCAGGTGGTTGCGCGCATGCTTTTATGACCACTGGGGACAACCTATCTGGATCGGAGAAATCACTGCGACTGATAGCGTTCAGCACCTTTAAAGCTTGCTCTGATGTGACGGTCGTAGGAGGACAGAGATTGAGTGTTGTTGTACCTGGTCTCGGTAGCGCTTGCATTATGTTTTTCATCGCAGAAGAAGATCTGTTAAGCTCGTTGATGTCATATGAGGCTGTAATAGATCGAGGGGAACCACCGCAGAGCAACTTATGTCCGTTCCACAGCTGATTGTAGGACTTATCCTCTAGTACTTACAATTG